CTCCCACATGCAGCTGTTTCCCCCGAGATTCTCATCAGCAAGATTTAGTGAGTCCAAGGTAAGTCAGAACTTATCTGAATCAGAACCATCCTGAAATACAGCATGCCTGAAGAAGCTGCTGAGTTTGTTCACTCCACTGCAGTTTACTGAGGAACAGAAACATTTGCTGCACATTGGGTTCAAACCTGCATCCAAGTGTGACTGTAGCTCCAATCTATAATCAATTAAAGATCGTTTAAACTTCTGCTGTGTTGAAAGCAGGAGTTTAACCTAAAACACTGGATGTGTTAGCTGTTAGCACTCAGAGTATGAGTTTGGGATGACTCTCAGCTACCACACCAAATGTTGGCTCAATATCTGTAAAACTGACAGAGTTATGATCTATTTGTGTATGCTACAGTTATTTACCTGCACATCATGAATTAAGTTGACTCCAATGGTTCTAGAATAGAATAGAATCACCTTTATTGTCATGGTATGGATTGTATGAGATTGTAAGGGCCTTCTTACTTTCATGCATATTCAACAGCTCTCAAAAGAAGTGAAAAAACAAATAAGAATTTAATAATTACTAAACAACAGTGCATTAAAAAAACACAAGTAAAAAATTATAATGTACTCCATATAAGGTATTACAGAAATTCAGAGGTCTTATATGACCGAAAGATGAAAGTTGTTTTAAAATGTATTTATCGTATTTCAGAGATTTATGGACCATGTGGTTGAATCGACCCTGTAGATAAGAAAAGGTCAGAGACAGTTTTCCTCACACTGCTCAGACACCGGGAGCGGGCGATGCCATCCAAAGATGACAGGGAGCAGTCGACAATGCACTGCGATGTGTTGATAACTCCCTGCAGATGTTTCCTGTCTTCTGCAGCTGCCACATCACAGCACGGTTCAATGGTGGAGTGGTGGAGGGACACTTGCAGGTTTTCCTCCACAGCACTCTGAGGAAGTGATGTGACTGCTGGGTCTTTTAACCACTGCCAGAGTGTTGGTCAACCAGGTGAGGTCCTCTGTTTTATGTGTTCCCAGGTCCCCCACACAGTCAGAGTGGTGCAGGAATCATTTTACTCCTCCTGAAGTCCACCACCACCTACTGGTGCTGAGCAGCAGGTTGTTCTTGGAGCATCACTCTGAACCTCCTTCTCTAGTCTCATCGTCTCCTGTAATATGCCCCATGGCTGAGGTGTCATCTGCAAGATTTATGGATTCATTATTCATTAGGCAGACAAACACATGCACATACACAGACAGAGGTAGTTGCACAATCAACCACCATTCATGGTGAAAGGCAAACTTAATCTGTAAATAAAGATTGTCATCATAAAATAGAAGTTTTATCTTCCAACAATTGTCAGACAGAAAATTGAAAAAGTCCAGCAGACAGCTAAGGACTACTGGAAAGCTTGTAAATACATTGTTAATTGGGCTGCATGTAAATTTAAAAAAGTTCAAGACAACAACAACTGGACTTTATTTGTAACAGAAGACGTTTCGCTTCTCATCCGAGAAGCTTTCTCAATATCGAATTGAACTTATTTGAATTTACAATGTCCCGGATAACTGAGAATCTTCACCAGTGTGCTACATGTAAATCAACCTAAAGAAACCTAGCCTTGAATAAAGTAATAATCTGAAAACAACTGGTAAATGGACTGTACTTATATAGCGCCTTTCTGTCTAGTCAAGATACTCAAAGTGCTCTACAACACAATCTGTGCCCTCATTTACCTCCACACACGTTCATACAGCACTCTGCTACATCTCTACAAATCTAATCTGAATCTGTTGAGACTAATCGGTGTTTTATCACATTCAAACACCGATGGGACACACATCGGAGGTAACGAGCGGTTCAGTGTCTTGCCCAGGGACACTTCAGCATGCGACTGCTGGTGGAATTGAACCCCCAACTCTCCCATTGGAGGACGACTGCGCTAACCACCCAGCCACAGCTGCCCAGAAGTGCACGGATTAAACAGATCAGTAGCTCTTTCATCGCTCATGTTCTCACCCCATATTGGAACAATTCCAGTGTTTTTTGACCCCTTTATCTAAAACGAGCAGCTTTAAGGACGTCCTTCTTATTTGACCTCATTGCATCACCGTCCAAATTAATTTTCTCAGATGGAGAGTTAGCAGAAATGTGTGCCATGATTCTAAAACTGTAACTGAAGATGACAACATTCTGGAGACTTTTCCAAAAAAATATGCGTCTGTTTTAAAAGATCATCTGAAATTTGTCTTAGATGTTCGAGGTGAGCCTCGATACGAGAGAGTCTCTTTTCTTTTTAAATGGACTCAGATTAATTTGTTTCATAAGCAGTTTAAATTTCCACCTCAAGCTGTTTCTGTGCAGAGCCTTGAGACAACTTCTGTTGTGATAGGCACTTTATAAATACACTGAATGAACATCCTCTGACGTTCTTTGATTTGATTTTTTTAATAGCTTTCATTTGTTTCTATACAAGACCATGAAATCAAGTTCTGCAGAGTTTACTTTCTGAAAACAACACCACCAAAAAAAATCCCACATATTTAACTCAAGAAAAGTACACTCCAAGTGTTTGATTACAGACATTTCCGTTGTTACACTTGATGTTTTGGGCTTAATAACACGATCCAGTTCTGTTCAAATGAGCAGCAACATGTTGCAATCCTCTCGAGCACCGAGCATTTTTAGACCACTTGTATTCAAGTCAAAACATACGCCAGCGTTTGGAGAAAAATAAAACCCACTTCAAGCAATGAAGAAGAAGTAGATCTGATGAGTCACCATCCTGTGTTCTTTCACCTGCAGGCAGCGGCCTTTTACTCTGATTGCTACTGATGATGTAAGAAAAGAAATGGAGAGGGTGGAAAATTATATCTGTTGGTTCAAACAAAGACTAAATCCTTCTTTGCTTTGCTTATTATGATTGCCTTTTATGTAACTGTTTCCTCCGTGCACTTCCAGCCTTCAGGGTAACAGTTTGAACTGAACCATTCTTGCTAAAACATCTAAGTGTCCTGATCGTTTGACTGATCTGATTAAACATTATGCTTTTCTTCATGGGAATGCATTTTGCAGGTTAGGAAATAGAAAAAAAACATAAATAATATTTCTACTTAACATTTACCTTTCATTAGAACCTTGTTAAAGGAGCTCAGTGGAAAAGCTTCTCGTTTGCAGATTTCTTGTCTGAGCTGCAGGTAACCAGCCACTCAGGAAACTTGATAATATTTCACAGAGAATTAAAAAAAAAGACGTCCTTGATGCTCACTGAATGTGTTTACAACAGCCTTCATCTCTTTATTATTCTTTCATAAGAATTATAATTTCGGGCAGCACGGTGGCGCAACTGGTAGAGCTGCTGCCTCTCAGTGAGCAGGTCCTTGGTTCAAACCCCAGTCCGGGGGCCTTTCTGGGTGGAGTTTGCATGTTCTCTCCGTGCATGCGTGGGTTTTCTCCGGGTACTCCAGTTTCCTCCCACTGACCAAAAACATGCATGTTAGGCTGATTGGTAACTCTAAATTGTCGCTAGGTGTGAGTGAGAGAGTGAATGGTTGTTTGTCTCGTTTGTCTCTATATGTGTCCCTGTGATGGACTTGCGACCCGTCCAGGGTGTACCCCGCCCCTCGCACAGTGATTGCTGGACATGGGCACCAGCGACCCCCGTGACCCAAAATGGAATAAGCGGGTAAAGAAAATGGATGGATGGATGAAGAATTATAATTTGTTTTCGTGCTTGCTTGTTAATTTTCAGAGTGTTTTCTTTTTATTTGGCTCATCTCTGTTCTTCCCCCTGTCCTGTTAATCGTTTCACCGCACTCACCTGTGTTTTGTTAGTTTCACATGGGATTTGGGATGGGAGCCATCAGTTTTGCCTCCCGTTCTTCTTTCTGTCATTTATTTGTCCTGTTAGCTGGAGACAAAAACTGAGCTTGTCTAAATCAACCTTTGGGACAAGGTTTGGTGTTCTGCTTACCAACTAAAAGCTTGAAAACTATTTTCATATTGACCAAGGCCAGGTCATTCCCCATCACCTTGGTCCAGTTTTCAGCTCCAAACGTAACCCTGGTCTTGAAAGAAATTTTTAACCTGCTGAATATAACACATCACTGAAGCATGTTCTGAAACCTCTGCATCAAGCACGGTTATTTTGTCTTTGCAGATGAATCCACAGGGATGGACATAGTCAACCCCTCTACACAGGTCGTTTTGCACTGAAGCCTATTTTAGAGCATCTTTGCTAAAACGTTACTAAGAACTTGCTAAAAGCCACAAGGTTGCCCACTTCACAGATGTAATTTTTACAATAATCATTCAGTCTAGCTCCTAACTAAGCTGCAAAAAATATATACGTTCGAGTTGTCTTTCTTAGATGTGTTTACAGATAATATGTTTCAGTGTAGGACTGCAGCTAATTTACTCAGCCCCTTAAACCATTGATTTCTGCACTCCATGTGCCTGATGAATTAAGATGTTTCGATAGTAAACCCATATATATATATATATATATATATATATAT